AAAAAAAAAAAAAAAAAATTGCTTATTGGATATAACGTGGGTATATTGTCTTCAGTAGACCTTGTAAAATTAGACTGATTTTATTACTCCTAACTTAAAACTGTGACTTTTCTCTGTACCAGCTGGTTTGGATGCAGGCAGGATCGCTGTGTGGATAGATGGTCAAGGGATTTGAGTTGGAAACATGGAATCATGGGCTATAAGAACTAGAAGGGTAATATTTAGTAAAATTTTTCTGTCTCAGAGGACAAGAAGTATACCTAAGGCCACAGACAAGCTGAAGCCAGAAGCCAGGCTAATTGAGAGCCCAAGTGACCTTGTTGTTGCAAACATACTTTAGAAGGCTTAACATGAAGCAGAAGCTTCAGGTTGTTCAAAACAGTGCTCCTTTATCCATCTCCCTCCTTGTTGAAATAAATTATAGCTAGCTTTGCCATTTGTCCTAGGATATTTGATACTGTGATAAGCCATGCCTTGTTGATCCGAAAGAAGTGAATTGCCTGTGTTAATCATGTGAAACCTTGTTTCATTCCATTCCTTAAATTCTCAAAAGCAAACTTGCCTCAAAAAACTGTGTAAACTATACTCAAGTAAGGACTCATCTCACTAACACAGTAGAATGAAAGAAGCCAGTCGCAGAACACACATGATCTGATTCATGTGTATAAAGTACAAAAAATGGTAAAACGACTCGCTTTTGGAAGTCAGGGGAACGGTTACTAAATCTTTGTTGCCAGGATGTGGAAGGGGCACATCTGGGGACTTCCTGGGTTCTGATAACATTCTGGGTCTTGATCTGGGGCTAACAAGGAAATGTTCAGCTTATAAATTTCACCAAGCTGTATACTCATGACATGTGCTCTTTTCTATATATTTATTGTATTTCAATTAAAAGTTCTATAAATGGACAGAGGAATTAGTAATTGTCATGGGTCCATCTTAATGTGCCTGGGACGAGCAAAATTTAGAAACAGTTTTTAAAAATCTGTTCTTTTAGATTAGATCCCATCTCTAGAGCCACATCTAGAAGCATGAAGTTGAATTTTATTGAGCTTTTCTGCAGGAATAAAATGGTTCTTTTTTAATTTGTTTGGTTCCAGCTCAGAAAAAGTTCTCTTTGTATTGCTGTTGGAGAGAGGTAGTTGTTTTTTTTTTTTTTAAAGACGGAGTCTTGCCCTGTTGACCAGACTGGATTGCAATGGTGCAATCTCGGCTCACTGCAACCTCCGCCTCCCGGGTTCAAACGATTCTCCTGCATCTCAC